GTTGTTTCATTATTTCATACCTTATTTCGAAGTCATAACTTCTGCATTTCCTGTCCTTTTCCATTTATACTGTTTAGTCATCCAACTGTTATTTGAAAATACTTGAAGGCTTAACAATTACTTTCATTGTGAAGTTATTTCAAACAGTTTTCATTTATTATTTGTCTGCCTCATGGAACTTCCAACGTAAGGCGTAAGATTATTCTCCTCGATGCTGGAATTTCTTTTCATCTTTTCAAGTTAGTTTTAGTGATGTCAGTTTATTGTTGTTGAACCAAATGTGATGATGAGTTTCTTTGTGTTAAATTCTGCATAATGTACTCACTTTGCAAGGTTTATGGCAATTTGATCCCAAGGTAGTTGATCTTAGGTGATGTAATTAAGCCGAAGTAGATTGAGTCTTGACGTGCATGTATTTTCAGTTTGGTAGCAGAGTCATTGTTGACAATTCTCCTGGCATAGTGCTAATAATGGACTAGATCAAAATGGCTCAATTAAATTATAGTGCTTCTTTTATTAGTCAAGTTTCTAGAAAAAACGCAATGCACCTTGGGTCGCTACGGAAACAGCCTTCTTGTATAATTACCAGGGTAAGGTCTGCATACAACTGACCCCCCAGACCCCAACCAGTTGGGAATATACTGGGTATGTTGTTGTTGTTGTTGTTGTAGCAGATCAGTTTAACCTATTACATTGTGGTGCAGTTGAGCTTGAGAACAAAATCTATGTAACTGGTAGTAATGTTTTCTTATGTATACATGCTATTTGGATGAGGGTTTATCCAGTGGTTCAGTTTTTAAGTTAACTTGGTGTTAGCGAATAAGTGGCATTCATAGAGCATATGTTGACATATGCAATAATGATTTGGCATAGGAAATACAGCCGAACATGGCTAGGGATGAAAGTAAATCGACTTTTCGCCGCTGAGATGAATGAACTCAGAAAGATTTTGGTGAAATTTCCAAATATCTCTGAAGGCATCTTTGTTGAAGAGGTATGTTCTCCAGCATTGCATTGCCTGTTCTCTCTTAGAAACTTAAAACTTATTTCTCATGCTAGTAGTTGTCTTGGCCTTTGTATTTTTTGGGCATACAATTGTCAGATTCATCATAAGTAAATAATATTCATTGAATTGACAATTAGGTTACTTCAACGTCGCCCGCTGCACTTGCTGGATTACGCCCCAATGATGTGATAGTTCAATTTGGTGGACAAAATGTTAAAAGTTGCTTGGAGGTACTTACCTCTACTATTATTTCTTGTAGCTGTGTGCATGTATTGGTAGCTAGGGTTTCTTGAACCTTAATAGTTCATAACCTTTTTTTTTTTTTTTTTAATATCTATGTTATTTTTTCTTTTTCTATGTTTTGGGTATTTTTTTCCCCTGGATCCAGTTATTTGGAATTACCTGGGATAAAGTTGGGGAAAAAATGTCTGTGAGTGTACTGCGAGCAAGCACTGGTGCTCGTGAGGATGTATTTATGGTGGTTGGCAATGCTAAAAACCGTCGATGGAATAGGTAAAACCCATTGTTTCTTTAACTGGCAGACCAATCAAAGGGATGTTTCATCTTTCTACAGGGCTAGTGGAGCATCTGTTCTCTATTTTTTTTTTTTTTTTTCTTATTGAGTTTTTCTGTATAGATGGCTAGTTCCACCAGTAAACTGGTGGAAGGGTTACCCAAATGATATGAGGTCAGATGTAATTGACAAAACTAATGTTTGGAGGCTGGAATTCAGGCCTAGTGATTTGATCGGTATTTTTCACTTTCTTCTCTATCTACACCCTAGTTCACAGACAGTCTTTCTATTTTATTTCGTTTTATGTAACATTATATTTTTTTTTTAGATGAAAGTCGAGGGTATCATATTATGAAGGATTCTTTCAAGACGAGGTTTTATTCATTATATTGGAACCAAGATTTGGATATTTATGTTAAGAGAATAGCCAATAAAGCTGCTCCATCAGTTGTCTCCTTACAAGTTTCTTCAGGTGATCTCCGTACACTGATATTCTTCACTTACGCTTATGGTTTTGACTTAGATAGACTAATCAGCGTTCTGAGCTGTTAATATAATTTGCTTGTCTAGGTGAAAATGAGATATTTGGCTCTGGCTTTGTCATCGAATGTGACACTGTCATAACTTCTGCCAGTCTCTTAAATTTTCTGGATACTCAATCCGGTGATCTAAAGGTTTGTCGACTTAAATGTAAATGTTGGTAGCAGATCTTAAGTTACGTAAAATTTCAGCTTTTAAGATTTGTTTTTTTTTTTTTTTTAAGTTTTATTGGGGTTTTTCCTTTTTAGTTCCTTACTGTTCGTGCTTCCGTTTTTTTTTGGGGGTTCTTTTTTCCATGTTATGTCATCTACTTAGACTATCTTTATTGGTGACCCATGCCATTGGGTCACCAACTAAAAAACAATAAAAAATGAAAAAAAAGCAAAAATAGAAAAATCCGCGACCCAAGTCAAATTGTGACCCTGGGTCGCAACCTGGCCACGAGGAGAGAGAGTGAAATTAGGTGAGTGGAATGGGACAAGTGTCCTATTCCTATTGGTCAATAAATTTTTTATATAATAAGATAATTATAACTCAAATTATTGATATTAATTTATATGAAAAAAATAAATAAAAAATATCAAAATTCATATTTTTTCATTTTCTATAAATAGAGAGCACTCTTGATATATTTTGATATATTTTGGAACATAATTGCAATTTCTCTTTTGTCACTTTTTTTTTTTCTTAATCGTACCTTATTAATTTTATCATATCTTTATTTATCCTAACTTGTTTAATTTATTTTATACTGATTTATGTAATTTCAATTTTTAATTAAGTTCGTAATTTTTTTTAGTTGCATGGTAAAATATTAATTTTTTGAAATCATTAAGACTTTATTATAAATTTTTTAATTAACTTATCACAATTAAAACAATAACATAAAATTTATTGTGGATAATATTTAATAAATAAATAAATAAAATTAAATAAATATAATGTTGGGTTAAGGATAAAGATATGTAGGTTGTTAAAAGTTGGGTTGTGTAGGTGGAAGAGAGAGAAATAATTTTTTATTATTTGGTTGGGTTGGGTTGGGTTGTGGTTAAATATAGTCTCAAGTTTCTTTTTTTTTTTTTAATTATTTTTTTGAGAGTTGGCCTTTGTTTTAGGTTTTTCTTTTTCTCTTTATTGT